GAGCCCCATTTGTCCCCAAGCACGACTCCTCTCAGCACCCACCCGCCAGTCAATGGCTGACTTCAAATCCTGGCTCCTCCCCACCCTTGCTCAGACTCGGTTTCCCCAGTGCAAAGTCGGGAAGGAGGTCTCTGGCTGAGCTCCCAGGTCCTCCACTAGTTGGACAAGCTCACACTGTCTCCCTCGTTCCAGGCCTGAGACCAGGAGGGGACCCAGCAGGTTTGAGGGGCTCCAGGAGGTCTGGGGGCAGGATGTTGTCGGGGATATCCAGGTGGTAGGTGGAAAAGCAGTGGGCCCACCCTGAACTGTGATTATCAAGTCCTCCCACACTGGGAGGCAATGGTGACCACCGCCTTCTGCTGGCTAAAAGCTCCAGCGGGGAGAGTACAGGTGTCTGTGAGTGTCTGGCTCCAGGTGTGCACACAAAGAACAGGGTCCAGGGATTTCTAAAGACTCAGTGTAGTTGGCGTGTGCCTGCCTGCATTCCTGGGTCCAGCTCCAGCCCCGAGCACAGGTCAGAGAGAGGCAGGGTGGATGGGTGGGAGGAGGAAGGGAAGGAGCAGGGGCAGGAGAGGATTCAACCTCTGCTTCACCTGGAGCTCTTGGAGCTCCTAACTGGGTCCCTTACTGGAGGTGGGATCCTGATCCACTGGGCTGGCAGGGCCCTTTCAGGGTGACCGACCAGTGCAGGACCCCCTCGATGGCCCAGCTCCCTCACCTGCCCTGCGCACCCCTCTCAGCGCCTAGAGTCTAATGCCAGGCCAGGGAGGCCACGTGTTAATTAGGGCCCCTGGAGAGAGTCTGGGCTGTAATTGGAGAGCACCCAGCTTGTAAAAGAATGAGTTTCCCATGCTTGATTAGCTTAATGAGGGGCGGCCCAACCCCCCCCCCCCCCCCCCAAGGAAACCAGGGCGGCCAGCGGCCAGCCCGCCCCCGCCCTCCCCCCCACCCACTCTCCCCCGAGGGCCGGGGCCTGAGCTTTGAGAAGGACTGCCTTTTCTGCC